TTATGGACACATACATATCAACATGATTCTATGTGACTTAGAATTATTATTAAATTTCATACTGTTCAAAGATTTTTGTCTAATAAAATTCATGTATTAAATATTTTACTTCTTAAATGTTGTTGTCATTAAGGCGTGCAGTGAGTACTACGGCAAGCACTCTTTGCTAAAGAAGCAAGAATGGATCGATATGCAATTGAATAGGAAGAAGTAAATAATAAATGCCTGTGTGAACTACAAATACCTCAGCTGTGCAGAAGTTATTTCATTCATGTTCTTTAAATCATTAATTGTAATGAAATACCTAGGCCACAAACAGTTCTTCATGAAACAAAAGACCATCTAAGAATAAAAAATTTGACAATGATGGGAAAAAGATTGCTCAGCTAAATAAATGGAGTAACGTAATAGTCCTGTACTTAAAAACAGCATATCTCTCTGTAATCTGTTTTTCTTTTCTTTTTACTAGTTTGAAGTTTTCCATTATACAACAAATACTAACTAGATTTTTTTAAATGTGAATATATTTCATTTTCTCTGAAACTCTCCATAATCACAGCACTCTAAAATTTTTCAGTGTGGTTATCACTTGTTTAACATCCTTATAAGTTTAAAAATATAGTAGAAGGGGAATGTTTTTCTTTCTTTCCTTTTGAACAGCTAATTTTTTTAATTTCCAGATTTATTGTTCTTTAATGACTTAACACTGCCTTTCAGGATGGAAAATATATTTCTCATTAAATTTCTGCCTCCAAAACTTCAAAGAAACTACTAGTGTTCCCCTCTCTCTCTTCAGAGAGCAATGAAGTGAAATAAATGATAAACTTTCTTGATAAGAGAAGTGTTCATATATTAAGAGTTTTGACACTTGAAATTGTAACATTTGAGTATATCTAGGAGCAGCCTGCCCAGGTCCCCTTCAGTCCTTCTCTCAGACAGGAGCACTCTTTCCCCCAATAAATATATTCTGCTCTTAAAAAAATTAACTAAGATCCTGAAAGTAACATTCACTGCAAATGTCATAGCATATTGATGTGGGATCCTATTTATCCTTTTATCATCCACAAAATGAACTCATGCTTAGCCCCCAAATATAGCACTGAGTGTTTTTTATGCTAGTCCAGGTCCAAGCTATCCCTCCACTATGTTGCTCCATGAGTGTATCTCAGGAGGAAGAAAATAATCACAGAAACAACCCACCTCGAAGTAACTATTAGCTATATGCACACATAAAATTATGGTTAAAGTGTTTTCCTCTGTATTGAACACTATTACCAACCAATTCTTATATTTGCATACTTATTCATTCAATAAGCATTTACTAAACATATAGACTGTGTGCTATTATATCATATGAAAATATTTAATTCAAAGAACTCTAATGGATATAAATCTATTTTATATGTTGTTAATATTATTATTTGAAGGGGAATAATCACACTTGCTTTCCCTTTGTTGCCTAAAAAATATAAAATAAGTAATACTTCCTCATCCTTTCCAAATTTCTGCCTACCACCTTCTCTTCCATTCATGATTTCTATAACAAGTTAGAAAAGTAATTGTGCAAAATTGCTGTAAAAATACTGCTTTGATTCCATGCAAAAAGTTTTGAAGTGCTTATAGCCATAATGGATAAACTGAACTATCTGAATCACTTACCTTTTCTGAGCTGTATTACCCTCAAATATGGTATTTACTTATTTGCTAAGTATATTTGGCTTCTAAAATAAAATGAAAATTATATCCAAGTTGAGTGGATTTGAATAGTAAATGCATCCTTGAATAAAAAATATTTGACATAAAATTATTCATCTTTCTCTGTAAAATATATTACTAAAATATAAAATATAAGTCTGTCAAGTTATATACCCAATAGTACCGTATTATCTTCTTTCTGTCACTATAAGTGTTGAAACATGTTTATAATTTATATATACTTACAAATGTTACTGTAGACCCATTAGCTATGTTTTGGAGTGCCTTTCTCATAGAAGATTATCATGGTGATATTAATAAAAAGCATAGGTTAGAGAATACCACACATTTCATTAAGTGCTGTATCATTCAAGGTTCAAATCAAATGCTATCTCTCTCAAAACCTTCTCCTATTCCCTCCTCCCCACCCAGATGTCTTCTCATATCCCCCCGAAAACCCACTGCAATTTATTTTTTCATCTCTCGTGGTTATCATGTTTTCATAATGTGTCATAATGTCCTGAATATATATCTTCTCTTCCATGATATTTTGCTCATAGAATAAAAAGACTGCTACATATTTTCATTCTTAACTTTAAGTATCAGAGTACTTTACAAATACTGGTTATCAATGAAACATTTTGGCTCTTTTTTATTTTTAATGTTAGCCCTTTATGGTACAACCCATCTATTTTAATAGGTTTAATGTTTTTTTACCTTTGCTACTCAAAAATAAGCTATAAGTTCTTTTTTTTTTTTTTTTTTTTTTGCGGAACCGGGGATTGAACTCAGGCCCTTGCGCTTGCCAGGGAAGCGCTTATTCCACTGAGCCATCTCCCTGGCCCGCTATAAGATCTTTTGAGGCCTGTGACAATCTTCTAATACTTTTATGCTCCCAGAATTCTTGACATAATACTTTTATGCTAAAAGGAAGTACTCAGTTAAATTTTACCACAGGATTATCTAAGAAACATTTCAGAACATAACTAGCAGCCATCTTCCATTCAGATGAATCAGATCCCATAAAATTTGCTTACCATAGCATTGAAATTTGTATGATCCCCTTTCCTATTTCGAATCTGAATACAAGAGAGTGGTAAATTCAGTCCTACACCAGTGGCCAGATTTCTTAGGTCAGCAGCATTGTATTCCCCACGCAATAACAAACTGTTATTATCAGAGCCAAGTCCCAGAGAGGCTCGATAGAAATACGTCTGAGAAAGTCTTTCCACTGTAGTGACATCTATTGTGGCTGACTTCATGCAAGGGTTAGAAGCTACCTGCCTCCTAGGCCTCCAATCCTCTGGAGTGTGACAGCCCCTCTGAGAGCAAGAGACTAGACTCTGGCTCAACTTGATACATATGAAAAAAATTAAACACCCCAGAAATAAAAAAGAAATGCAGGCCAGGGCAATTACTAAATACAAGTTCTGAGCAGTAAGCTGCCCTCCTGGTTCCCAGGCATCTTCAAAGTCTGGAAGGATCTGTGGTGTAAAATTATTCAGTAGCACACCAAGAAGAACAGAGGAGGAAAGCGGTGGGTCTCCATGGTCCTGAACTACCACCATCACCCTTTGTTTAACTGCATCAGTAGGAAGAACAAAGCGTGCAGTCCGGAGCTCTCCCATACTGGCTGAAATTCTGAACAGGCTAATATCAGAAGCCTGAGAGATGTGGTAGGAGAGCCAGGCATTGGAACCACTGTCGGCATCCTCTGCTACCACTTTTGTAACCAAGTGTCCAGTTCTGGCAGAGCGGGGCACAATTTCTACAGGAATTGAACCATTTCTGGGCAGAGGAAACAAGATAACTGGAGCATTGTCATTCTTGTCCACCACAAACAAGTTCACAGTCACTGTTGCACTTCTAGAAGGAATGCCACTATCCCTGCCTTCGACTTGAAAACTAAATCCCCTGAGTTGTTCAAAGTCAAAGGAAGTTTTGGCAGTGATCACACCACTGGATGGTTCCACTGTCACCAAGCTCATGGCTGGCATCCCTTCAGAGCTAATATCCAACAACTTATAAAAGACAAGACCATTCTTCCCCAAGTCTAGGTCCTGTGCAAACACCTGACCTAGAGAAGCCCCAGGTCCATTGTTTTCAGCCACAAAAATTTCCTGTTGAGGTTGAGGAAATCTTGGTGTATTGTCATTCACATCAGCAACCGACACAGTGAGTGTTCTTTGGGTGCTGAGTGGAGGTGAGCCACCATCTAAGGCAGTAATTAGGACCTGGTATTCACTCATCTGCTCCCGGTCCAGGGGCCCATTAGTCAGTAAACTGTAGTAGTTGTCAAAAGAAGCCTTCAGCTGAAAAGGTCCTCTGCTAGATATACTACAAACGACTCTACCATTGGGACCATGGTCCTCATCCTTTATACTAAGTAGGGCAATCACTGTACCAGGGGCAGCATCCTCAGGTACAGGGCTGGAGAGAGTCATGAAATGCACCTCCGGGGCATGGTCATTCACGTCAGTGACTTCCACCAGCAGTTTGGCAGTGCTCGATAAACCAAACGCTCCTTCATCCCTCGCCTCGATGTATGCCTCCAACAGTACTTCAGGTGCACCAAGGGAAGCAGCTAGCCGCACCTCCCCACTTCTAGGGTGCACATGAAAAAGATGTCGCAGCTCTGCTCTAGTGCTATTGCTTAGGGAGTACCAGACTTCTCCATTAGAGCCTTCATCTGGATCTGAGGCCTGCACTTGGAATAATACTGTCCCATGGGGAGCGGTCTCTGGAACCTTGGTGCGATACACGGAGTGTTCAAACACAGGCGCGTTGTCATTTGTGTCCACCACGGTGATGGTGACTTGTGCATCTCCGGAGAGCGCGGGCAGCCCGCTGTCCAGAGCTGTGAGCACTAGCAGATGAGTAGCACTCTGCTCGCGATCCAGCGCTTTCTGCAATATCAACTCTGGATATTCGCTGCCATCAACCCGCAACCCCATGTCCAGGCGAAAGTGCTGGTTGGGACTTAGGCTGTAGCTTAACACCCCGTTGCTTCCCACGTCTGCATCTTGTGCATTCGGAAGAGTAAAGCGAGCTCCGGGTGTCAGGAACTCCGGGATGAGCAGCTGCAGGTCGCCAGCAGGGAAGAGAGGCGAGTTGTCATTGGTGTCCAGGACGTGGACGTGCACCTTGTGCAGCTCTAGTGGGTCCTCGAATATTAGTTCATATGTCAAGATACAGGCAGCTTTGGTCGCGCACAGCCTCTCGCGGTCCACCGGCTCTCGGACCACCAAGCTACCGCTGCTTTGGTCCACCTCGAAGTAAGGCTCTCTGTAGCTGGAAAGGAAGCGAAAGTTTCGCACGGATAGAGCGGCTGCTGGCAGTTTCAAGTCCGCGGCTACATTAGCTACTGCTACGCCCCGTTCGGTCTCCTCCGGTACCGAGTACTCCAGCTGTACCGCGGTGGCGCCGCAGGAGACCCACAAACACAGAACCACCACCCTCCAGCCCACCATCCTCCCTTTCGGCGTCCACGCTCCCACAGCGGCGATCTGGAACCATGCTCCGGACTGGAGAGCACGAGCCTCCAGGAGGAGCGAGCTCTGCGGGCTGTGCCGCTGAGGGATGCTAAGTTCCGCCTCCGGGCTGTGGGAACCTCCTGGGGCTGGCGGGCTAACAGCCGGGTTGCGAGGTTGGAGGCTTGGCAGCCGTCTGGGAGAGGAGAGTCGGCCCGGTACGGGGAAGCAGCGCCGCCTAGGGGTGCAGAACCGAGGTAAACAGCCTGGGAAAGCGCCGTCTGCAGGCTGGGTTGCAGAGACCTCGCCCCAAGACCGAGGGCGGTGGGTGGGGGACGACAAGGAAAACGCCCGCACGGGGAAACTAACGCGTCTCTCTTTAAACGGTTTCATAAGACAACGCCCTGGGACTGCCCGCGTCTCATCCTACACCACCTATTTATGAAGACTCCTGATAAAGGGGCGAAGCATTGCTGGGCCCCGCCCACCGGCTGTTAGACAGTGGTCGCGTCGAGTCCCATGGGTTCCTACACGATGACCTCCTGCATTGCCCGCCCCGGGGGAGGAACTCTGCGTAGAAGCGCGGGGCGGAGACTGCCAAGGCGGACCAATGAACGTGACCGACCACGCCTTATAAACCCCCAAGGAAGGGCAGAGGCTTTTTCTCTGCGGGATTCCCAGGCTCTCCGCTGCGATAAGGAGGGAGCAAGTAGGGCAATCTACCCATTTTAAACTTTCTGCACACTCTGAGATAGCAGGAAAAGAATAAAACGAAACAAAAACTAGTGAGTGCAAGGCTTATGATTCTATGCTCTGCTTTTCTGCGAGACCGTAGTTTCTTCCTCACTGTACTGTGCAAGTGTTGTGCAAGCAGCTCTAGACTCTGGGTGGAAGAGATAAATCGGTCGATTCCAAGAACCAGAAACTCCAGAACACTGCCAACATGTGGGAAACAATGTACTTTTGTGCAAATTCATTCTGTAAATATTTAGAAAAAGTAGCCAGCAAAGTAGATATCCATGCTTTCTCTAAATTAGTGTTTGTTTGTTTGTTGCCAGGGATCAAACTCAGGACCTTGCAGTTGCCAGGCAGTCTAAATTTGTTTTTAATTATGTCTCACACACAAATTGTGACAGAGATTAATTTTATGAGAAAAATCTCTTCATCACAATAAACACCTAGAAATTCCACCTAACAACCTACAAGGAGCTGCTTTCCTTAAAAGTCACGCTGAACAGACTGATTAACTATATAAACACTAAATTCCTCACTCAAGCCTGTCTTTTAATTCAGTTGAAATATTCCAAGCCCTCTTTTTTAACTAGGTGAAACATGTAGGCTAATTATACAATTCTCTCAACTTTTCTGCGTGCTTGAAATATTTATTTTATTTATCTGGTAGTGGGAAATTGAACCTAGGGCCTCATAGTGAGCTACAGTCTCTGCTCTTTTTTTCCTACTTGATACAGGTTCTCACTAAATTGCCCAACTGAACCTCAAATTTAATATCCTGCTTCAACTCCCAAATAGGTAGACTTACAGGCATGTGCTGCCACACTCAGCTTATTTGGATATTTTTATAGTATTTTTGAATTGCTGATTAAGATAGTGGGGAGAACAACTCCAACATTCTCCTCTTAAAACCAAAGTGGAATTGGTAACTCCAGTGTTCACTGAGAGGCAATTTCTTCCCCTGAATATCACAACCTATTTCTTGTTTCTTCCAAGGAACTAGAAAGATCACGATGTAACACAAGGCAATATAAATAGGGTCTAACTGGTTTTCTTTGGTGATTAAGGAACTAAGTCTCAAACAAAATTAAAGCAGAGACATGTACCATGAGGTAGTTGTGAGAGTAGACATAATTTGGAGATCTTACTAGGATGTGAAATTGCTTATATAAATTGATTTTTTTTGTGTGTGGAACCAGGGATTGAACTCTGACCCTTGTGCTTGCCAGGGAAGCACTTATTCCACTGAGCCATCTCCCCGGCCCCAAAAAGTGAATTTATTCCTTACCTAATTTTAAAACCAAAGTGAATTATTTGCTTCAGTGCCAGAGATTAAGGTTTGTACATCTGTGTCTTAATTTAATACTGTAAACTAAAGTAACTGCTTTGGGATGCATGATTATTCTTTCCACTTTTCCTTTTGCATCAGATGAAATACACCTGGAGAGATGTACCAACTTTTGGAAGGCATCTTAATTTAAGATTTTCAGTCAAGCCTCCAATTATGTAACAGGTTTAGTAATTTTGAGCAGGGCAATACATGTGGGCATAACTGGAAGGGTGAGGAAAAGAGAAAACTCACGGAGAAATACCATTAATATCTTCATAAAAACTCCTCATTCACACACTTCTCAGATTTTGAGCTTTCCTTTTACTCAGTTCTCTATTTAAACCACCACCGATGTCTATTTTCAGAGGCTTTTATTTGTGTCAAGAATTCAGTAGCACCCACTTATTGGGATCTGTTTTACACACATCTCCCTAACTCTAGGTATAACATTGCATTCTTACTCAAATAAATTTGGATTTGTACAAAAGTACTATTTAAAAGAAAAGATATCACAAAAGATGAAGAAAGCCAAAGATTTTTTCTTTGGATAAAGTGACCAGATAAACATTAAAGTCCTAAATTAACCAAACTTCTCTTCAGCAGAACTTGTAGTTACTAATATTCCAGTTTGTCCTTTTTTGCAATTCTCCATAGGTTTCTCCTAATTCAGGAATTTCCAAGCTTCTATTTAAACACAGGTATAACTTTAAATGAAAAGTATGCAAAAACATAATCCTAATTTCTGCCTGGAATTTATTGCCAAGTTACTCTCATAAAGTCCTTCCATTAAACTTATACTTCAGCTGTAAATTCAGGATTTCTAGCCATATCACACAAGTTTTTACTAAAGATCTTGAAGCCAAAGAAGAACATGGTAAATATGACACCCACCAAAGAGCCTGTCAACAAAAGAATATTGTACTTCAAACAAGATTTTCTTTGTGGTTAAGATCATACCCCAGGAGAATATTAAGTACTACGGAAATTAAATTAACAGGATAGTTACATCATATTAAACAAATTTTAATCCAGTATAACAGTTTAACTATGCCCAAATCAAGCCTAACAGAGTGAGCGTTCCCCAGAGAATAGACACTTATCATTAGATTTTTGTCTCTCACACTTCCAGGATCCTCTTATATCATTTTTATTAAACCTTTAGTCAATAATAAAGTACTACAGAATATCTTTGTGAGATTTCTACTATCAAGGAATTAGTTTTTCTCCATTACATACTCTCTAAAACATCTTGGGCCTTTCTTCATGAATGTACACTTTCATTCTAGAATGTATTTGCTGAGCACCTTTTATAATCATGTGCCAATTTCTCAAAAACTACCTTTGCATGAAAAGTCTTTGAGGGCCAGCCAAATAGCTCAGGAGACTAAAGCACCTGTTTAGACAAGCACAGGGACCGGAGTTACATCCCTGTGTCGTTCTAGCTCCACCCCCAGGGCGCATAGAAAGGACAACTGAGACTGGGCATGGTAGTGCACACCTGTAATACCAGCACTTGAGAGGCTAAAAACAGGAGGCTCAGACTACAAGTCCAATCTATGTAGCGAGACCTCATAGTCCCTGTACTAAAATACATTTTTAAAAGGTCTTTGTTCTAGTCCAGCTTTAAATGTGATCTTCAAAACTTAAAAAGACATACTCCAGGGTGGTCAGTCAGCTCCAAAAAGAGATCTGGATCATTCATTCTAAATATTAAATATGTGGTAATAGTATCCAAATTTGCTGTCTTATAGTCAGAGAAAACCAGTCCCACTGCCCATTGCTGGCCTTGATCTAACACTGGCTAAAAACAACTTATATTTACATTGCTAGAAATTGAGATTTTTATTTTTTCTCTCAGTATTTCAGAAATTATGACTTTGTATTTTACCTTTTGCACTTTTATTTTGTTCATCTTTTTGAGGACATTTATTAGAAGTACATGGGATCTCATTTTTTAATTTCATTGTGTATGTGTTTTAAAACTGTATTTTTCAAATTGCATTAAACTCTTTGCTATTTCAGATTTATTCTTCTTAATCTTCTAAAGTATTTGTTCTTGTTCTTGAATATATACTAGCATAGCCTGTTCACAGACTTTCTCTTTTCAGTGTGGCATTAATTTCTGAGATAATTTTATATTTTCTTCCATATATTTAATGGATTGCGCCAGCTCACTTTTCATAAATTTTGTGACATTTTCCTTTTTATCCTTGAACTTGAACTCTGTTTTAAGTTTGTTGTTCTTTGAGGCTATTTAACATTAAATTTAGGGAAGAGAATGAGGGAAAATATTTGCAAACCATACATTTGATAGTAGGTTAATATCCAACTCAGTAGTAAGAAAACAAATTTAAAAATGGGCAAAGAGGATAGTGTGATACTTAACTGACTGTGTCAATTTGAGTAAGAGAAACCCAACTAAATTGGATCAACATAGTACTGGGTGTGCAAGATCCATCCTTTGGAGGATTGTCTCCAGAACAGTATAAAATGGAAATGAAGAATGAACACTTCCTTTTGCTTCTTTGGAGGAACTCCAGTCTTCATCTTTACCTGAAACAATGTCTCCTGTCTTCCAGGGAAGACCCTTCAGCCTTCAGCACAAACTTTTCAGCCTTCCATCAAAGACACTTCAGTCTCCTGATAAACTCCCTCAGGACACTACTGGGCTCCAGGCCTTCCTCTGGATCCATCAGATATCCAGAATGCACACAGCCCTTTTATACTCTTCCACATCTGATTCTGTGGGTAGCCAGTGAAAGTCAATCTTGTAAAGTTTTATATATTTGAACAACTTGCATTAAATCTTTTTCTCTAGCAAGCACAGACTGATACTGATGGGAATGTAGCTCAATGGCACAGCACAGTCCCTGAGTTTAACCTTAGCATCATAATAAAGAAACAAGAGAGGGAGAGGGAGAACAGAAGAGGGGAATAGTCAGGAAGGAGTAAGGGAGAGTAAGAAAACCAAAAAGGTCATAGGATTTGAATAGACACTTTTCAATAAAAGACACTATGAAAAATGCTCAAAATCACTGATTATAAGAAAAATTCAAGGCTGATACAGGAGAATTGCTATAAGTTCAAAGCCAGCCTGGGCTACAAAGCAAGTTGATGCTTTAGTGAGACTACCCTACCCATCCACTCTCCTGAGAGTCATGCTCACCCACATCCCACACCCCTACCAACACTGAAGAGTGAGGAAGAACATTGGGAGCTTTAAAAATGATAAAAGGGAGGAGCAAAAAGCAATCTCAGACCTCTAGCCCAACCAAAACAAGGCCATAAGGCAAGGTCATAGAAGAACTTGGGAGTCACACACCTGAAATTTCTGAGATTATAGCAACTGTTACAAACAACTTCATCAGACTATGAAAAAATCAGATCAGAAACAACCTCTCAGGTAAAACAGGAAATGATAACAACCATGAAAAAAATTGTTCAATACATCTAAGGAAGACATAGATTAAAAAGATTTAAAAGAAATAATAGAAACCTGAAATGAATAATACAGGAAAGAACTAGAATGAATGAAACCAATTCAAACAACTATCCAAGACATTTAGAATTCCATGGCATCCCCCACCATGCCAGCCCCACACCCAGAGCAACCTGAGACAGGGATTG